AAATAAACATTCCATGATAGCTATATACTATATATTTAGTACTTATCATAGGCCACACATTGTGTTCTCTGCACACTATATGTATTATTTCATTTAATTCTCACAATTCCAGGAGATGAGTGCAGCTATTTTACCCATTTAGCAAAAATGAAACTGAGACTCAGAGCAATAGAGTTACATGCACGAGAGCATACAGCTGGTCTTACGTTGGAGCTGAAACTGGAACCCAGATTTGCTTGACTCTAGAACTAAAGATCATAACCCTGCCCTATAATATACTTCATTACAAAAATTCCTAGTATTGATAAAGTACTGAACAGTTTATTTTATTTACAATCATATATATGTTACTTTTGTAGGACAACACTCTTTGCGAATATGATCTGATTAATTGTATTTATAATATTTGGTTTACAATTCAGCTAAGATGCATCTGACGGAATTTTACAGTGAAAGACACCTATATGACAACATTTAAGATCATCGTTGACATTTTGGAAAAACAAGCATCAAGGAGGAAAAGGCTATTTCCCAAGTAAATGAAAAGCATTATGAAGGCAGAGCCTTGTATTTAGTTCTAACCTTAGAGATAACCAAGGCAAAAAGCTAAACCCTATGTAACATTTGTCATCTGATCAAAGGAAGCATACAAGTTTGTTAGGAGAACAAACATTTTCTTGAAATTGAAGCCTAAAAAAGACCTAAGCAATTCAACATCAATAGACGTTGAGCAACATAATAAACATCTGGTTATGAAACACACACTACAGAGCCACTGAGCTTTGGGAGATAACTCTGCCATACACCCAGACCAAGCGCTTCAACGAGGAAAAAGGTCAGAGGTTAAAAGATTTGGATAACTTCTGTCCTGACTCCCTCAAAGCCTCTGCTGACAGTGCTCTTCATTTTGCCTGCATTTCTCCCTCACAAGCCTAGAACAATTCCTTTAAAAAAAACTGCAGATGGTATATATATATATATATATATATATATATATATATATATATA